TTTATTATGATTGATTTTGACAAGTGATAAAATTCCCAACTTGGGGAAATTTTGTTTTAGGAGTTTCCAGTTCAGGAAACAAAATCTTATCCTGTGATGCCACTGCCCAGGTGTGGCTGGGCAACCTCCCCTAGTTTACTTATACAGTAATGATATGACAATATCGATGACAAGTTCACCCAAGATCACATGCAAAATTGTCATTTTGTAGGGTTGCAATTTAAAGCCAGAAAATAAAAAATGCTCCATAAATTTTTGAAGTTCCCATAAATTCCTGAATTTTGAAGGCTGATGCTGCTTTATTCTTGTGGACATGTCCTCAATCAAAATGAATCTAAAAGTTCATTTAAATTTCATCTAGGGCCTACTCAAGGCCTAGAAATTTAGATTGAGTTCAGCAAGCCAGATAACACAGCCATCAAGCGGGCAAATAATTAGCTGTTTTCCTTTACTGTTTCCCGGAGAGTATAAAATTTAAAAATTCTTCATGCGTAAGTTCTAAAGTTCTCATAAATCCCTGTATTATGAAGGATAGAATGGACTTCATACAATGGAAATTTCCTGAATCTCAATCAAGCTAAAAATTCATCTGAATTTCATCTAGGGGTCAATTCAAGTCCTTGAATTTTTGATGAAGTTCAAGTGAGATAACATCGCCAATTGGGCAAATAATTTAGCACGTTTTCACTGACGAAATAAAATTTAAAAATTATATCCATGCATGCGTTTTTCAAGTTACTCCAAATCCCGGTGCAGTATTAACTGACGGATGAAATGGACTCGATGTATAACGGAATTTGCCTGAAGCTCATCTGATGGGTCATTCCAAATAATACAGGCCTGACCCTTGAGATTAAATTCAACCAAGATGAGTACGTGCCAGCGTCAGTCGTGACCTCGGCCGGGGGAAGGGTCGGGCTAACCATGCCGGGTTCGCTGCCCAAACCCATCGACGTGGGCCACGACGTCAGTCCGAATGCCGAAACGAGCCTGGCTCTGATGGCGTTCCTCACTAGTCGGCAACCGGCGCCTTACACGTCCAAGTGCTGGCACACCTGGGACCAGACGCCGTTCATTCCTAGGATCCTCCTAAATGCCACAACCAACAAGTACATCAGAGGGATAAGCTACTCTCAAACGGTAACCCCCTTTTTCAACTTTGAAAAATTCACCTTATAATTTCACATTGGAACCCCTGCTGTTACAAAAAATAAGAGCAGATTTGCAAGACTATATAGATCAGAAAATATTTTAAAATTAAAATAAGGAAAGCAAATGCAGCAATATCAGCAAGTTTTCCAGCCTGTCCTCATTTAGTAAGTGCTGAAAGTTGAGATGAATTTTATTATTTCAGCAAAATTAGATAAACGGAGCAATCAAGAATTCAGCAGAAGACAAGAGATTTCATTTGCAGACAGGTTCTTGGATTAATCTCTCGATTAAGTTTAAGTTTTCTGATTTTTTTCTGGGACACCTGCTATTTGAGACTAAAGGTCTCAAGAAAGAAAAGAAGATGAGAATAATAAATTAAACACCACAATCAGCTTGGGACTGGCTGGGACCCTCTTTAGAGACTCAAAAAATAATTGGGTATTTACTAATTTCCCAAAACCACAGTTAAATCAACTCAAGACACTTTGAATAATAAGGAAAAATGCATGAGGGAGGTTCAATTCAATGCAATATCCACAGCTTTCACAGCTCAAGTCTGCATCACAGAGTCTCACAGTGGAATGAATTTCTGCTGAATTTTTTGAAGAAAAAGAATGAAACTGGTTTTCCTTAAGGCTCAGACACTGGCCTTGGATTTGGCTGATTTTATCTGAATTGAAGACAATCTTTAGCCTCATCTGGCAAGTCCTTCTGGACTGGTTTTTGGCATTGAAGCCTCTGAAGGCTTCATACAGGTTTTTTTTTACTGATCAAGGGATTCATTTATTATTAAATATCAACTGTGCTCCGTGGTCTCTAAAACCTGCAGAGTGACTGGCCCAATTTTTCACGTCATTATGGTTGAGTGTAATATCAATTGTGATCTCAGAATCATTGTACGGTAACATCAATGCTTGATTGTGATCTGGGTGTTGGTCAGGCGTTTTTCCGGTTTTGTTGAATGTGGATTCTCTTATTGTTAAGCGAGGACCAACTATAACTCGATTCTTTTCCCACACATTATTTCGCACATTCTCAGAATGCTGCTGAGTTTGTAAATTGACAATGATTAACAGTGAATCAGTCCTGTTTTGGGGTGTGTTTCCAGGATTGTCGCACACTTTGCTTCAGTGCCATGATGAACCGCAGGTGCAACTGCAGCGATTACTATTCGGCTCAAGAGTTTTACTTTCATGGAGAATTGTTCAACTCGGCAGAGCGATTGTGTGACTACACAAATGGTGAGACATTTTTGGAAAGCGAAATGGTGGATGACAGCTATGTATTAAAGAAACATAATTATCTATAGTATAAAACATACGAGCTAGGGTTGTCCCAGTTGAACGCAACCTATGACATTTTTAGAGGACTGGTATTTTAAAGAGCATCATTCAGCAGTGCTGCATAAAAAAGCCTGATACACCCCATGATGTTCTATACCAGTGTTCCCCAACCATTTTCGGTCCATGGACTGGCAAATTTCCATTAGAAATTTGTGCAGACTGGCAAATTCCGAAAAAAATGCCTGTGGACTGGCAAAGTTTCATGAACTTTTTACAGACTTGAAAAAATATTGCTTGATTGACTTTATGGCAGGTATATAAAATTTTCTGCAATTCTTGCAAAAATTTACTTAATCACCTATGAAGCAGCTTTAGCTGAATGTCATCAAAAACTTAGATAAGTGGGCTTTAAGAAAGGTTTCTCAGAATGAAAAATTTTAAATAATTCATTCCAGCAGGTAAAATTGTGTCGGAAGTGTTATCAGGAAAAAAGCCAACATTTACTTTTCATCAAATGATTTCAACTGCCATTGTCTTTCCAAAGTTTTAGATAATGATAAGAGAGTAGATTGCTACTCATGCTATATTTAGTATGCTGAAAAATTTTTGAGGACTGGCAAAAAAGTCTGCAAACCGTCACTGGTCTGCATACCACAGGTTGGGGAACACTGTTCTGTAACCCAGAAACTGATTTCCTTATTTATTCTTTTCCCCTCTCTTATTTGGGT